AAGGCTCTCAGGTTAGTCAAGCATGATTTCCCCTTGGTGTATCCATGCTGACTACTCTTGAGCACCTTATTGTCCTCCACGTGCCTGGAGACAACGGTCAGTATGAGCCATTCCATCGCTTTTCCGGGGACGAAGGTGAGGCTCACTGGCCTGTAGTTGCCTGGGTCCTCCTTCTTGCCTTTTTTGAAGACTGGCGTGACATTGGTTTTCTTCCAGTCCTCCGGCACCTCCCCTGTTCTCCAGGATCTTTCAAAGATGATGGAGGACAGCTTAGCTATGACATCTGCCAGCTCACGCAGAACTCTGGGGTGCATCCCATCAGGGCCCATGGATGTGTGGGTATCAAGTTTCCCTAGGTGCTCTCTGACCCAATCTTCCTCTACCCAGGGCAAGTCTTCCTCTCTCCAGGCGTTTCCTCTTGTCCCTAGGGCCTGGGACTCTAAAGCACTGCCCTTGGTAAACACTGAAGCAAAGAAGGGATTCAGCAACTCTACTTTTTCTGTGTTATTCGTAACCAGGGTGCCCACCCCATTCACCAGCAGACCCATGTTTTCCCCAATCTTCCTTTTGCTGTTAATATATTTGAAGAAGTTTTTCTTGTTATTTTTAACAGCCCTTGCCAGATTTAATTCCAAATGCGCCTTAGCCTTCCTTGTCCCATTCCTGCATCCCCTGACAACATTCCTATATTCCTCCCAAGGTGCCTGTCCTTTTTTCCACATTCTGTATACTGTCTTCTTCTGTTTGTGTTTTGCCAGGTGCTCCTTGCTCATCCATTCAGGCCTCTTGCCCACCCTGCCTGATTTCTAACTCATAGGGATGCACCAATCTTGAACTTGGAGGAAGTGATGCTTGAATGAACACTAACCAGCTCTCATGGGACCCCCTCCTTTCTAGGGCCCTAGCCCATGGGATTCTTCCAAGTAGGTCTCTGAGGAGGTCAAGAGTTGGCCCTCCTGAAGTCCATGGTTGCAAGGCTACTTACAGCCCTGCTTCCTCTTCGCTGGATCCTGAACTCCACTAACTCATGATCCAACGCCAATGCTACCCCCCACCTTCACATCTCCAACAAGTCCCTCTCTATTTGTTAGTACCAGGTCCAGTAGCCCACCTTTCCTCATTGGCTCCTCCACAACCTGCACCAAAAAGTTATCATCAATAATCTGCAGGAACCTTCAGGATAGGTTTTTGACATGTTGCTTTACTCAGTTTAAAGTTTAGAACAGGCTACTGTTACAGTAAAATATATGTATTTATTTTTATTACCATATTTTCAACATACATGATCTGTATCTTAGGGAACTGGGGTCCCTCTTACAGTATTATTCCCTGAAAGGTCTTAAATCAATCACATCTGATTTTGTGCAGATTATTTGAAGACGAAAGGCACTAAGAATCTGACACAAAAGTAACTTATGCTGTACTTGAATTACAATAGTTTTAAGAGACTGGTGCAGATTTCTTCTATTAAGTATTTATTACTCTATAAAATACAAGGCAGTCAAAAGTTTTCAGAAGATGTTACTTCTACAAATTGGGTCTGTCTACAGTCAGAGTGATGGCAGCAATTCTCTCTTGCATGGAAAAGGTCAGTGATTTTTAAAAAAAGCTTTGTGCTAGATCATTAATAAAACTTATTTTTTACTATACTTACTGCACATGTTTTTCAAAATGTTTTACAACAGACTACAACTGACGTTTCCTAGTCTGTTGTAGGTGAAATTTTCCTAGGTGAAATTTAAACATAGAAGTTACTTGCTTATTCAATAAATAGCCCTATGAACAGGATCAAGTTCCAACAGACTCACAGTATTACCATGTCTCTAATAAAATTTGGGACGATCAGAACACAACAGGCTAATGATACTGCACCATAACAGAAGACATTAAAACTACAACTCTGTGAGAAAGTACCTTCAAGTTTCAGAGAACAGCACGTGTAGCATACAAGTTTCAAAGTGCACAACTCAACTTTTGCTAAACTGCATATAAGCCAGGTTTTGACCTTAATACTTGTTAAAGCTACTACTTCTTTACTTGCAGTATGTTTCCTGCAGCTTATTTGTCCACATACTCTACTAATAACACATTTTAAGAAGTAAGCAATAAACATGAAGCTGTAACTGCTTCGTTAGTTATGGAGTCTAATGGTAAGTATGAATTTTGGCTGTAACCAGTGCAGTAAGAGTTGTTATAATTCCATTATCTGGATAATACAAGCACAATGCTATTCATTTGAATGCAGCCAGAGGTACCTAAACTCAACAGTTCTTTCAAGGGGGAAGCATTCATCCCCAGGGAAGGAACAAAAATGAAAGAAAAAATTAGCTGCACATTGGATCTCTGACTTTTCTGGGGGGGGTTTGTTTGTTTGTTTTGTTTTTGTTTTTTTTTCCCCACTTGTTTGGGGCTGTTTTTGTTTTTGAAAAAGCAATCAGTCTTGAGCAGTTTTAATATCTGGAAGGATAATCCCTCCCATACTATGTTACTTTTTGCTCTATAACCTTCCCACCAGTTGTTTCAAACCTATTAGATATATTTAAAGAAAGTTAACAAATGACTGCATCCTAATGACACCCTAAATTAAAATAAATAAATAATTATAATAAAAAGTTAGTCTGTGTTTTCTGCTCTTTGCAGGACTACCACAGAAGACTCTCCAGACTGCTTTGACAGTGCAGCGCAGTAGGTTTGGACAGATAGTCGTGACATTGCAGGAGAGTAGCTGAAGTAACAGTAAGGCAAAAAACATAACCATTTTTGAGGAAAGTGACATACAAACATATTGAAAAATGTAAGTTGTTGTACAATGCTCACATAGTCTGAAAGCAATTCTTCATAATAAAATTCTATCCAATGAATTGACTGGAATTCTGCAACATGTGTATGTATTTCAGCACTCCCTGAACTGCAAACTTAAGTAGAGGTTACAAGCACACAGCAAAATATTCCCAAGAATAACTTTATGACTGTTCTACACTTACCCGATCCACTTTATCTCGTGTTAACCATGGTTCAAATGGATTAATCTCAAAGCATCTTGCAATTAAGCTGCAATCAAAAAGAGTATTATAGAGCTATAGTCATTATGCAGGCGCACAGAAGAGCATTTCAGACTCAACTTGCTCAGAGTGAGCAAGGGGTGGTTTCAGAGCTCCTCTTCTAAACTAAAAAATAATTAAAGCTACTAACAAGCAAATAGGCAAATTCTTAACTGTGTTTCTGGAAACTATAACTTTCCCACCAAATTCCTCCAATCCCCATTCTTCCCCTTCTGAAGGGAATGGATGAGCAGATACTTGGAAATAACTGTGTCTTAGTGGATGTGGAAAGTAAACCTCCATTTTCAATTTCCCCCACACTATAAGGTTCAGTCTTGCCCGCACCTCTGCTCTAAATTCTGCTTCCTAGTAGCATAGGCAGTAACCCACTTAGTCACAAACTTTGATTTATTGCCTCCATGGAAAAAAATACTTGCCGACAACTAAATAATGTAACAGCCAACAGATAAGATGATGGAATATAGAGCAATCTTCATCTATAAAAAGGATGAAGATCAGAGTATGTGTAGTTTCCAGAAATGAAACTTCTTTTCTAAGTAAGTAAATCTGGCTGAAAAAAAATATATTTTTTTTCCTCAGTGTCTCTTGATGAACATTATATAAGGTAGTGCATCTTATAGAAGGGCTCATGTGGCAGGCTAGGAGCTCAGATAATAAAGTTACTGCACATAAACAGAGCTAGATTTGCAAGTCTTAGATGCATTTTTCCTCAAAAATAAGAAAATATTACTTAGGACAGAATTTTTCTTAGTGGGTTAAACTAAGGGGAAGGTAAACTAATAAGAATAGTAAACATTATTACTTTTAAACAAGCTTAGCCATGAGCTAAGTTAACAATGTGTCTATGGCTAATTTCTTCAGGAACAGTTGCAACAGTTTTAAGATGTTGTTCTAGTATTATTCATCACCAGTTACATAAATGCAATGTGAAGACCCACTAGAATATCTGCAAGAGTGTTCTTACACATTTGATCTTTTTAGCTTACGTTGTACTGAAACAAAGCAGGATCACCACCCAAACACTACCACATCTCAACAGTGCAAAGGGTAAGTTTTGAAATGGTGTTTAGTGCTGAAGGTAGCTCTTCAAAAGGATGTCTGATTACACCAGAACAAATATGCCCAGGCTCAGATTTATACTGCATATTTTAATGCACTATTACTCACTAGTTATGGTTTAGCAATCAGTCACTTACCATTCCAGCGCCTTCGGTGCGCAAGATTTACAACTGCAGATCACACTCAGTGTGTGGAAGCTGAGCCTTCACAACACATCTACGGTGGTCATCTCAAATGGTACTACACCTTTCTCTAACTTGCACTCATTACTATCTCCTAAAGATGTTACTATCCTCATACCATGGGGGACAAAGAAATGTGGATTCACAGCTGTGTTGCTGAACTCCTCAGGTCCTCTATCTCAGTACAAAATTACTACCACCACTGGTTTAAATCAAAGGACTTTACTAAAACAGCCAAGATACATACACATCCTTATACTATTTCTGCTTCCAGGACTGTAATGTTCAACAAAAAGGAAGAACAGCTGACAGTAGCAATACACTAAGCAGCTGTATAAAATTTGTCAGAGCCTACAGTTAATGGCATACACATAGATTTTTCTCTATGATACTATCAAAAATTCACTGAGTTTTCTAGTAATAGTCTATACTCGGGGCCTTTTACTTCTTGACTCAGCAAAAGCAATGCCACCTAATAATTCTGTAATAAACAGTTTTGTTAAGTAGTCTTTTACAAGCACACATTTAACACGCTGGTTCCTAATAGTCAGACTTCTTGTTGGGCAGAAGACTCAAATTTAAATCATGAGTACTTAGGGAAAAGCCAGCTTCACCACACTACAATATTGATAATAACATTGATAATACTAAATGAACAATGCAATAGTTATTTACATTTCAATGCTACTTCATGAATTCTTAAAGAACTCCACTTACTGATAAAGAGGTCGTGGAAGTGGATATGGAAAAAAGGTTCGAAAAGAAACAGCATAGATGTACTCCACCAAGTCATAAAGGAGGTATCGATTAGGTCTGAAAAACAAACAAACAAACCAAAAAGCAATAAACAGTATAGGCTGTTCTTTATTTTCTTCTTTTTCAGGCTAGCACTGTTTTTTTTTTTTTTTTTTTTTTGTCTCTTACTGCAAATATTTAAATACATCTATCAATGGCCTGTTTTATTCTAAATGATTTGTCATTTTCTTCACAAAAGGGAAACAAATTCTGGTTCTAAAGATTCTATACTGTTTGAAACAAAGAGAAATTAAGTTAAAGAAACATATCATTCACCATCAGTAACAATGGTCGCAACAATATACTTCATCAGTTGCAAAATTGCTTTAACAATTAAATTTATTCTGAATATTTTTAAAGAGTAGTTTTGAAGTGCTTCCTCCATGCACGGACTGACTCAAGTTCTGAATACTAGATTTTCAGCACTGGAACGGGACTGAATTTGTAGAAATTCATTCAGCAGCTTGCAACAGAAGGAAGTCAGAAAACAAAGACTGAACTTAAGGTTTGTTAACAGAACATCCCTTATTTGGTAACAAATGGCAGCGAAGAAATCAATTCACTTAACTATGAACATGGTGTTACCTCTGAGGGCAAAAGGAAGAAACAAAGATAAATTCCCCCGAAAGAATGTATTCATCCTCAAAAAAAAAAAAAAAAGAAGAAAGAAAAAAAAGAGGAAGGGAAGCAATGAAGCTTTCTGCCTACTTGCAGTAGATAAACATATATCACTGGGATGGGAGTTCCCATTCTTTTGCTGTTAAGGCCTTGCCTTGGCACTGACTTTATATGTGGCTTAAACTGACAGAAAAATCTCCCTTGGCTTTTAAGGCAACTTGCTGGTATTTCAGAACATTCTGAAAAATCTTTATGATGACACCCCAGAACATGTTGCTGAGCTCTGACATGTCACTTGGCAGTTCGGCCTTCAAAATCCCATCTGGCTATTCATAATCAAAACAGCAATAAGCACACCAGAAGTGTTTTTCTCCCAATAATCTGCTATGACTTTTCAGCTAAGTGGAAGGTGTCGATGAAATGACAGTTATGTTGTCACACTGGAGCATAAGACCACATCTTTTTTGCTGTTTTTTTTTTTATTTTATTTTAAAATTGGAGACACTGAATTACTGTAAGATCTCAAACCCCAGAAGAACGTAACCACACTGGCATAGATAGTTTAAAGATGCAAAACTTTTGAAGCCACTCCAGAATCTCACGGCTGTAATACAAGTAACATGAATTTCATTTTGGTAAACAAAAGATGTGACTTCAAAGTTTGAGCTTCCAGGCACCCAAACTGAGGTTTCAGTAAAGTTGTACTTCAGAGAAAAAAAAAAAAAAAAAAAAGCACAACCACAAACTAAAATATTTGGTTGATGTTAGAAAAGGGACAAAACCCCAAATCATACTTGCTTCTTTTGTTTTTAAAAGCTAAATTAGCACAACACATGCTCAAAGCTAGATGAACATATACAGGACAACTCAAGATTTCTGAACTTGCACTGCTTACCAAGTTGCTCTTAGTGTTTATAAAACATGTGAGACTTGAATTTATGAAGTTACATTAAAAGAGTATCATCAGAAAGAAGGTATTAATATTCCTTTCTAATAAAACTTCTGAGAGCAAGTATTGAACTCCTGGACTTCTGCAAACTGTACTGCTCCCCCCCCCCCCCAAAAAAAAAAGAGACTTCAAAACTGTAAGAATACCTTCAAAGTTTAGCCAGCTGCCCTTGCAATTGGTTGCAAAAAGGGTTCTACTTAGCAACAAACCCTCAATTTCTCCTGCAGTTGGCACAATTGCTTCTGCTTAGACAAAGTGAGAAAGCCAAAAGTATCTCTCCTCCTCAGGTAAAAATACTTTGAGCACATGTTCATTCACACTCAATTTTGCCGACACAAAATAAAGCAGTCATGCAAAAAAATTAATTCCAACCTATCTGTGCTGGCTGGAAAGTCTTCCAAGTCAGGTGCATTTCCACACTGGTTGTGCCCATCTGATCCATATGCATCTTTTCCTTCAATAAAAAGTCTTCTTAAATGCCTGCCTAGCATTGGTTTCCACTTATTGTTTAAGGCAACACTTTACACCATCCCAGTGATGGGAAAGCAACTTCAGGTAACTTAATAACCTCATCATGGCTCTTAGTTTTTTCAGACTTTTGTGGGCTTCTTCATCTTACTTCACCAGTTTTTCAGTAAAAAGGAATTCAGCAGGCCCCCCAAGAAGTTGAAACCCTCCAGCCACTACACCAGCACACATAGCCTCATCCTCAAGAGTTTAATTAAAGTACTAAATCAAGTGAAAGACTAACCAGCAATCATCTCAAACACAGGAGCAAAGTGCTGCTATTGTAAGAGTGACAGAATATGAGTTGGGAAAAAACAATGAAGTTGCTGACAGTCCTCTTGCAAACTCCAGACACTAAACATATTTCCAGTGTAAAAGGAGGGGAAGACACAAAGATAAGCATATAATAGAAAGGAGCAGTGTTTAGCATCATTTGTAACATGGCTAACAAGCAGCTGTTTTCTTCCATGCATATAAAGCTTCTTTTGCCACATATACTGAACCAAAAAAACTCCAATGGCAATAACAATAAACATAAAACATGACTTCTACTATGCCATTTTTTTCTTAAAGTCAACTCTATTTGAAATTTTTATACACAGACTATTCAAAAGGGCCTACTGCCTCTATTTGTTTTTACTCCAGGTCATTTTCCACACATTTTAGGCAGAATATTCTCCAAAGCTATAGCTTTCTCCATTAGGAGAGGCCCAGCTTTTAAATTCTGGAAACGTTTGTTAAAGTTTTGTTTATTCTTTCAGTTCTTCTACATGATACTTACTATAGGCTGAATTTTATCCTTCAGTTCTGTAATATGAATATCAGCTTTTAAGAAGTTCAGGAAGTAAGTTTTAAACCATGTCCAACAGGTACTTATCCTTCAACATCAGACACAGAATCATAGAATCATAGAATGCTTAAGATTCGGAGGGACCTCTAGAGGTCATCTAGTCCAACCCTCGTGCACACGCAGGGTCACCAAGAGAACGTGGCATAGGACTGCGTCCAAGCGGGTTTTGAACATCTCCAGAGAAGGAGACTCCACGACCTCTCTGGGCAGCCTGTTCCAGTGCTCTGCCACCCGCACTCTCAAGAAATTTTTCCTTGAGTTCCTGTGGTGTTTCAATTTGTAGCCATTACCTCTAGTTCTGTTGGTGGCCACTAGTGAAAAGAAGCCACCACATCCTCCTCATTGCCTCCCTTGCGGTACTCATAGACACTGATTAGATCCCCTCTCAGCCTTCTCTTCTCCAGGCTGAACAGGTCCAGCTCCCTCAGTCTCTCCTCATAGGGCAGATGTTCCAGGCTCCTGATCATCCTTGTGGCCCTGCGCTGGAATCTCTCCAGCAGCTCCACATCCCTCTTATACTGTGGAGCCCAGAACTAGACACAATACTCCAGATGCGGCCTCACGAGGGCTGAGTAGAAGGGCAGGATCACCTCCCTCGACCTGCTGGAGACACTCTTCTTAACGCACCCCAGGATCCCATTGGCCTTCTTGGCCATGAGGGC